TTTTCCCTATTTTTCCCCATTTCCCCCCATTATTTCCCCATTATTTTTCCCATCATTTCCCCGTTATTTTTCCCCATTGCCCCCCGTTATTTTTCCCTATTTTTCCCCATTTCCCCCCATTATTTCCCCGTTATTTTTCCCATTATTTTCCCGTTATTTTTCCCGATTTTCCCCCATTATTTCCCCGTCATTTTTCCCATTATTTCCCCGTTATTTCCCCCATTATTTCCCCGTTATTTTTCCCCATTTCCCCCCATTATTTCCCCGTCATTTCCCCCCATCATTTCCCCGTCATTTTTCCCAATTTCCCCCAGTCTCACCCCATTTTTCCTCTCTCTTTTCCAGCCTCGCTGTCCCCATCCCTGTCCCCGGTGTCCCCGGTGTCCCCCTCCGTGTCCTCCCCGCTCCTGTCCCTGTCCCCCCCGAACCCCAAGCCCCACTCCCCCTCCATCGTCACCTGCGCCTTTGGCCACCTCGGGCTCCCGGGGGTCGCCACCGTCACCATCACGGCCAACGGCAGCGCCCTGGGGACCACGGAGCAGTGGGGTGACCACCAGGGTGACCACCAGGGTGACCACCAGGATGGAGCCCAGGGTGACCACCAGGATGGAGCCCAGGGTGGCCACCAGGATGGAGCCCAGGGTGACCACCAGGGTGGCCACCAGGATGGAGCCCAGGGTGGCCCCCGGGCCGGCCGGGTCACGGCCGTGCTCACTCCGGACAAGGAGGGGCCCGTCCAGCTGAGCTGCAGCGTCCGAGCGGCCGGAGTGGACAAACGGGCGAACACGACGGTGGAGGTTTATAGTGAGTGACCGCTGAGTGACCACTGAGTGACCGCTGAGTGACCGCTGAGTGACCATTGAGTGACCGCTGAGTGACCGCTGAGTGACTGCTGGGGACACTGAGTGACCGCTGAGTGACCGCTGAGTGACCATTGAGTGACCACCGAGTGACCGCTGAGTGACTGCTGGGGACACTGAGTGACCGCTGAGTGACCGCTGAGTGACCATTGAGTGACCATTGAGTGACCGCTGAGTGACCGCTGAGTGACCACTGAGTGACCATTGAGTGACCGCTGAGTGACCGCTGAGTGACCACTGAGTGACCACTGAGTGACCATAGGGGACACTGAGTGACCATTGAGTGACCGCTGAGTGACCATAGGGGCCGCTGAGTGACCGCTGAGTGACCACTGAGTGACCGCTGAGTGACCATTGAGTGACCGCTGAGTGACCACCGAGTGACTGCTGGGGACACTGAGTGACCGCTGAGTGACCGCTGAGTGACCGCTGAGTGACCATAGGGGACACTGAGTGACCATTGAGTGACCGCTGGGGACACTGAGTGACCGCTGAGTGACCGCTGAGTGACCATAGGGGACACTGAGTGACCACTGAGTGACCGCTGAGTGACCGCTGGGGACACTGAGTGACCATAGGGGACTGAGTGACCATTGAGTGACCAGAAGGGACAGAGTGACCACTGAGTGACCACTGAGTGACCAGAGGGGACTGAGTGACCGCTGAGTGACCGCTGGGGACTGAGTGACCATTGAGTGACTATAGGGGACACTGAGTGACCATAGGGGACATTGGACAGGGGACACTGAGTGACCACAGAGTGACCAGAGGGGACACCGCACAGGTGACACCGCACAGGTGACACCGTACAGGTGACACCGTACAGGTGACAGTGACCACACTGGGCAGGTGACACCGCACAGGTGACAGTGACCACACCGCACAGGTGACACCGCGCAGGTGACACCGCACAGGTGACAGTGACCACACCGCACAGGTGACACCGCACAGGTGACACCGCACAGGTGACACCGCGCAGGTGACAGTGACCACACCGCACAGGTGACACCGCACAGGTGACAGTGACCACACCGCACAGGTGACACTGAGTGACCACAGGTGACACCGCACAGGTGACACCGCGCAGGTGACACCGCCCACACCGCGCAGGTGCCGCCCCGCAGGTGGCCTCAGCGGTGTCCTTGTCCCCAGGTGTGCCCCAGCCGGAGCTGGACGTGCCGGAGGCGGCGCTGGCGGGCGCGGAGCTGCGCGGGCGCTGCGCTTTGCCCGCCGGGGCCGTCAAGGACATCCAGGTGCGCGTCCGCTCCGCCTCCCACCAGGTGCGGTTCCCGGGCGGGGAATGGGCGCGGCCGCCGCTGGAATTCGCCATCGCGGTGCCCGACGAGGAGGAGGAGGATGGGGAGGAAGAGCTGGAGCTGAGCTGCGAGGCCGAGCTGGACCCCTTCATCCCCCGGCGGGTGCAGCGGAGGATCCCGGTCAGAGGTGAGCCAGGGACGGAGAATTCCCGGCGGGAATCCCGGGTTTTCCTTCTGCTTTATCCCGGGTTTTTCCTCAGATTTATCCGGGATTTTCCTGGTCCTTATCCTGCCTTTTCCTCATCCCTGTTCCGCTTTTTCCTGGTGTTT